GTGCAGGTTCCTGGTGCTACAAGCTCCTGGGAGGGGTGCTGATACTGTACCCCCAAGAGTCACATTTCATGTCGTAGAGACACAAAAATATGTATTTGGAAACTGAGATCCAGAGAGGGCCTGATAACAAGTTTCAAAAACAAGATTAGCAGAATTAGCCCCCCTACAGGCCTAACACATAGCCCTAGCCACACTCACCATATAATTTACTTTTTCTTGGCAGATCCAGTGGTACTAGGGACCTGGTCTCTCTAAAGGGAATGAGATTATTGGATATTTTCCCCCCTTAACGCAGAAGGGGGAAAATGCCTTAGCACAAGAAAATCATACATCACCTCTTGAATGAATCTATAATCCATCTGTCAGACCATTGGCACATGCCTTACCTCCAGAGACAGTTGTTGTCCAGAGGACAAGTCATAAACTGCAGTTTTGATTTCTTGGCATAAAGAGAGAGCTTTCACCACGTCTGGGCAGTGGATTGAGAACTGGCAGGCTCTAGTCTATATCCCTTACATTTCTCGGTCCTCCCGGCCTACTGACCACCCGACGTTACAGTGCACATAGAGCAGGGAGTGGAAGGAGAGGGAGTGGACCTGAAAGTCACTGCAAACGTCCCATGTCGCCTTGACTTAGGAGTTTATGACTCTACAAACTGTCACAGCCCATTAAGGGTCTTTTTTTCCAGTTTCCCAAGCACACAAGCTGCTGCCTTTGCCAAGCCAGCCTGACTCCCTTCTGGCAGGTAGCCTGTCACGTCCATCAAGTCCGTCCTTACCGCTCAGCGAGGTATTCTGAAGGATCTGCCCACCCACTGCCTACTGTTTGGAGAACTGGGGACCCAGGACCCCCTACCTTGAGTGACAGGAAAGAGCAGGCCCTTAGGCGCTTCTCTTATTTATCACTTCCATGACACTGGACAAAAAGTAAAATAACCAGTGGGACGTCCCTGATGGCTGGTGGCTGAGAGTCCGCCTGCCAATGCAGGGAACACAGGTTCGATCCCTGGTCGGGGAAGGTCCCACATGCCTAAGCCACAACTACTGAGCCCGTGCACTGCAACTCCTGAAGCCCCCTGCCTACAGCCAGCGCTGCACAGCAAGAGAAGCCACCGGGAGAAGCTCAAGCCCCACAACGAGGAGCAGCCTGTCTGCTGCAACTAGAGAGGGCCCGGGCAGCACTGAAGACCCAGGGCAGCTTAAAGTAAAATAAGTAAAATGACCGACTACGTTCTCTTCTCAGGCCTTGTGGACACCGAGCCCAGGGAGCTGAGTGCACTCTGAATGAGACTCAGGGACGTGGAGGCTCATGTTCTGCAGCTGGTTCTAGTCTGTCTGTGGAACGAAGTTACTCTGCCTTCTACTATACCCGTCTTCCCATCTGTAAAATAGGCCTCATGTCACCAGCCCACCCAGAAAGTAACAAGGAGCCACACAGATGTTCTTAAGTTTTAAATAAAGTTATTCAGGCTGCCCCTATCACCAGCCCACTGCCTTGAGTTTCAAATGTCAACTCTGCTTCTGCAATGCTTAAGAAAACTGGTTCCTGTATCTCTCCTCGCCCGTGTAATATTCTGAGTATTTCACACAGAACTACAGGCAGCAAAGAACAAGACATTCAAGGAACGAGGATATACAAATACTCAGATCACAAGGACAGGGGACCAAAGTACACATGTGGGGAGCACTTTCTGATTGTGGAAAACAAAAGACAGAGTGGCAGAGGACAGAGCCCCTAAAAAGATGTGTAAGTGAACAGTGAAATAATTGAAAGGAAGAAACGGGAAACCGTGGGGATGGTCATGTTTTATGAGCAGGTGACCACTGCCGGCTACAAAAGGAAATCCTTTAAAAGTAAGAGTCTTTGGAAGAGAGAGGTAGGAAGGGCTAAACTAATTAAAACCGGCTTGGCTAATGACGGGCAACACCACGTGGGTGCTGAGATGGGGTGCAGCCATAAAATCTTGATGCAGACACGCAGTGTATTAAGTTGGGAATGCGTGTCTTTCTAGCTTCCTTTCTATTAAAGGAACAAACAATTTACATGTGGCTGCGTTACAGAAGTGTGATATGTAGAGCGTCAACCCTTTCTCTTCACACCCAACTGTGTTCAGTCAAAGCAGAGACGGGGTGCAGGTGGGTGGGGAGGGGGAGGAGAAGAGCGGGGAGAAAGAAAGTTTTTAAAAAAATCTCTGCCTCAGCAAAAGTTTTCATTAAAATTTTAGACAAATGATCCCTGTGTCCTTCTCCCTTGCTGCCTGGGGCTCCATGCTATTTCTATGCAAATAACAACCTCGTGGTTTATATCTTATTATTTCCACCGGAGCTGCAGCGACATGACCTGAGACGTGTAAGAGGTGGGGGGTGGGGGGGAGGTGGAGTTAGAAAGGAGAGAGAGAAAGAGAGAAGAGGAGAGAGAGAGATGAAGTGGGTGTTCACTCAAGTGTGAAAAAAATACTGTCAGGAGTGCACGTCAAGAACAAAAAAAAAAAAATCGCAGGGATAACGTGTTTATTTCAGTTCTCCCCCTCTTCTGACTCTTCACCCTAATGTTTAACATAAAGGATGAAGACTCAGAAAGGTAGGGGTCAAATGTTTACAGTCTAAAGGCTCGCGTCCACCACCTACATTTACACAGGTATACGTGTATGACAGGCTAGATGGTCAGGGCTTGGGGAGGCTCTACGGGGCTCCAGACACACACAAAGACTTTCTCACACATGGAGACTCAGGGAAGCACACAGACACAAAGAGAGAGACTGGTGCTCAGGCAGGAAGAGACAAGCACTCAGAGTGACCTGGACACACGCCCAGTGGATGCGAGACGCAGATTCCTACAGAAGAAAAGGCAGGCGTGCAGAGCGGTAGCGGTGCACACAAAGACACGATGTGCACAAGCAGGAAGGCGGAGGGGGCCGCCGGAGAACCTGGCTCCTGTCTAGTCCCCTTCTTCATACCTGAGAGGCACAGGGGCAGACAGGACATTTTAATGAATTTGCACGAAATCGGGGGTCTGCCAGCTCCATGGCTCCATGTATGAGGATGGTGAAGCAGTCAGGGCAGGGTTAGGTAACCCCTCTAACTGATCACTCCCTTCAGCTACAAATGATCATATCCTTCTGGAAATGAGCACTGTAGGGTAAGTTACAGCTGCAGCCTCACTGTCGCTTCCCTACAACTAGACTTCTTCTTTAACCAGCAGCCCTGCAGGCTAAGAGGAAGATGAATATACTGAATTTGACCACAGCAATTCAACCAGATTTTAAGAAAACAAAACAAAATCCCTAATGCTTTCTTTGCAGCATGACTGAAATTCAACTACCAAGCTTTCAGGAAAAGACAAACAAAACCCCCAGCAGCAGTGAAAAGAACACAACAACACCTTTGTTGTCACAACAAAGGTGACAACACCTTTGCCTTTTGGAATAGTCTTTTGGTATCAGGGAAAAAAATAAGAAACTCAGTGTGACAAGACCCTTTTCAGAAATTAGCTCTTTGTTCAGGTAGAGGAACAGTACAGAAATGTAGGTGTCTTCGTTACATTGGATCCTCACAGATAATGGTACCTACAGTTCTCTTCAGCATGCATCAATATCTCATTCTAAGAAAAAGGATCCAGAAGAATAACTTTTTTTAAAACGTAAGACTCTCAGCCAGTTTCATTCAGAGGAATAATCTCCCTCAGTAGAGACAGTTCACAATCTTTATTTCCAGGCTACTCTCTAAAGAAAGAGCAGGACATCCAGGTTGGCCACTGTGAGCACTGCTCTGCTTTCCTTGGAGAGAAAGACAAACCCAGAGAAGGATACGGAGTTCACATGGATGCAGAGAGCAACCTTATCACCTCATACCATTCTCATTTCTGTTGTCCCTCAAAGTTAATTGGACTGATGGCAGTGTCAACTTATTCTAAATGGGGATGATAGGCTAGGGCACTTAATTCCAGTCCTTCCACTTGAAAGTCAAGGCTGGATCTTAAAAAAAAAAAGTTTGTGCAAGTCTAATAAACAACTTAGCACATGTGTAATTCCCCAAGTTCAATCCTCAAACCAAGTTAAGAGAGAGGAAAAGGTAACTGGAACTGCAGTGCAGGCCAATGCTTTGCACGAAGTTCAAGGTGCTTTTACCTATGTTTTCTCATTTGATGTTTACAGCATCATTTAAAAGATGATGGGAAATTATTACCCATCTTTGACAGATAAAGAAAGATGAGAGGTTATGTGAGTTGTATGAGGTCAGTCAGCCAGCCTTAGACTATTACATATTCCTAGCTTTGGAGAGGAAATAATTTTCCTATGCCTGCAAAGAAGGGGGAACTACATGGTCCTTTGTAATATGCAGGTATTCTTAGGTACTGAGGTCACTGTAAGAGTGAAAACTATCTATTTTTTCCCCTTTGTGGAAAAGCCACTATAAACTTGGATTGAAAAGGCACAAGCATTTCTTTGGAAGGGAAAGTAAATGTCCATGTCATACTCTTTTCTTAGCAATCCATCCATGCATCCACCTGCCTACTTCCCATTCAACATTTACCAAGTACTTCCTTACCTTAAGTGCTCCTTTTCAGAGGTACTTTCACAAATTTCTCAAAATATTAAAACCTGACACCCTTGCCATGTTCAGAGGATGTTTCATAGGTATAGATCTCACATTGCTTGCTCACAGATGAGAAAAAGGGAGGGAGGGCACAACAGAAGCAGTCAATGAAATTTGATCTTTCTAGAAAGACATCAGAATGTAAACTCTTGGCAGCAGGAGATATATATGGTTTGTTTCTTAACATATCCACAGGGCTTGGAATACTGTCAGGCACACAGTAGGTACTCATAACACTCATTATGTCAAATGAATGAATAGGCAGAGAAAATGGAGACAGGAGAAGGGAGAGACTGAGGAAGGCGTGGGCTTAATATCTTCCCCCACCAATCAGGACCTAGAATTAAGAATTCACAACAGTCTTTGAAAAGCTTCACACACTTCTTCCAAACCCTAGAAACTTACTTTGTTGAGGGCCCCAGCTCCTGTCAGGATTAAGTGAGAATTTTCAACCTGGATGGTTCTCTGTCCCAGTCGGACAAGGTAAGCCCCAATCCCAATGGCCCTGCATGTAACCTTAAAAAAAGAATAAATTCGACATGTCACATATTTATGTTCCCTCCCAAGCTGTAAGAATTAAGGTATAGGTACAAAAAATTCACATTAACAGAAGTTAGCTTTTTTTTTAATAGGAAAACTGCTTGATTAAATAACAATACAAAAACACAATTTCCTGGTTAAAGCCAAGAAGGTACAGAATTCATTCAATGATTCAAGTCACAGTTAAAGGGTCTCAGACCCTTTACTCCTCTTACACGTTTGCCTGTCCCACAGATGTGTGGCATCCACACTAGAGGTATGAAAAAGGAAACTAGTTAAGAGGAAAAGAAATTTAAGCTATTAATACTGTGTAGAATATTTGAGAAATAATAAGTTAAACTAAAGGCTAACACAAGGTGCTAGTTTTATCTGGGGAATCCAGTTATGTACATTACCCTATTGTCCTACTACTATGCACAATTAAAATCAAATTGCAGATTTACAATTTTAAAGAAATGCTCCTGGGGCTTCCCTGGTGGCACAGAAATAGGAATCCGCCTGCCAGTGCAGGAGACACAGGTTCGATCCCTGGTCTGGGAAGATCCCACATGCCATGGGGCAACTAAGTCTGTGCTCCAGAGCCCAGGGTACTGCAAATATTGAAGCCCGCACACCCTAGAGCCCGTGGTCCACAACAAGAGAAGCCACAATAATAAGAATCCTGCACCGCAATTAGAGAGTAGCTCCCACCCGCTGCAAGTAAAAAGCACGCTCAGCCACAACGACCCAGCACTGCCGATAAATCAATATTTTTTTTTTTTTTAAAGAAATGCTCTCATTTGAGGCTGAATAGCAGTGATGGTGGCAAAAGCAAATCCGAGTCACAGCCAGCTCTCCAAAAATCTCACACTCGGCCAAGATTTACCAGGCTGATGGTGATGATCTCGTTGTAGGCCAACGAGGACTCCCCAGCAATCATTCCAGAACCTCGAAGGTTCTCTGCTCCAAGTCCTTCTTCCTTCCCAATGATGTCAGTTATCTTGTACCTGGTGGATAGAGCCATGCCAAATTAGACAGGTTAAACACAGTAACAACAATCCATTAAGAGAATAACCACCATTAATAGGCTGTTAAAAGCATACTGAACTCTTATAATTTAACACCAGAGCTCTGTACATTTTTTATACTCTTCATTCATATATCTTTCCTTCTTAGCTTGGTGCCTATTTTGTCTGGAAGCAATATGGTATAGCGGAAAGAGCAAAACCTGGAACTAAGTAGACAGGTTTAAATCCCTGCTCTGACACACACGGCAGTGCGACTCTAGGGATAAGGTAACTTGTGTAAGATGGAAATTAGAGTGCATCCACTTCTGAGAGCTGAGCAGAGTTAAATTAAGCAGCAATGAGAGGGTTTGACACATAGATGGCGCTCCAGTGTCAGAAGACCTCTTACTTTCTAGGACATGTCTCTATACAATCATCTACAGCCATTAAATCAAGCATTTTAGATGAATGTTACCTAGGAATAAAAAAAAAAAGAAAAAAAAATCCAGAGGCACAGTGAGAACAGTTTCTCAAGTTCCAAATCCTTTCTCTTTCCAAGACAAGGATGAAGGGAAGGTCAACACAGTGCACTCTATCCCTGCTCCTTGGAAAGTACCCAGTGTATATACGAGAGTTCCTGACACAGTCCTCTGGAGGGGCAGGGGGAATGTGTGCAAAAGTGAAATGCTGGACAAGTTGTCCAGAAAGCAGCCTGTGGATCCAAGGGGAGCCACTCATGGGTCTTCTCAGTGGGAGATTAGGAGTGATAGCTGATAATGCGAAATGGGAGATGGGGAATGCAGCTAATAAAGGAAAAATACAAAGTGGGACATAGAGATGGGCATATGTTATTTATTGTTCCATGTGTGCCCAGAAGGCTTGGCACTGGGCAGTCTTAGAAACTGAAATAATAAATAAATGTCCCATAGTGGCTCTTAAACTACTTTTTTTTCTTTTGCCTCCATATTTCTCTATTCCTTTACTTCCAGCCTTCCACCAATTTCTTTTCTTTGCCCTCGCTGTTGTTCTGTGGCTTTGTGTTTCTGCTTCCCGGATTCCCAGTAATTCCTTCTCCCAGTTCTTCCTTTGGTTTTGTATCTAGACTCTAGATTCCAGACTTATGTTACAGGTAAAGTTAATCTGTGTTAATGGGTTAATGAGCCACAGTAATTTGGTGGTGGGGGAGGGGGTTATGTGTTCTTTTTATAAGGCCCACATGCCATATAGTCACACATACTCATGGGCCCAGCCAGCCTTCCTTGCAAAGCAGATCTTTTCCCTCCTAAGGAGTGCTTACTGCTTCACAGGTGTTTATGATTTGTTAAATGACATCTTTTCCTATTGCATCACATGAAAGAGAATAAAAAATTTCCCATTTTCTGCTCTATGATCTAAGTCTTCCACCTTTAAGACTATCATTCTTTAAAGTAGTACCAGGGACTTCCCTGGAGATCCAGTGGTTAAGATTCTGTGCTTTCACTGCAAGGAGCACAGGTTTGATCCCTAGTCAGGGAACTAGATTCCACATGTCACATCACACCGCCAAAAAACAAAAAGGTAGTACCATATTTTGATGTTACTTATAATAAAAACCTTTGTGCAACATAATACAATTACAAAAGATTTACATGTGTCATTTTTGATCCTCACAACAGTACAGTGTGATAAGGAATATCATCTCCATTATCACAGATAATAACAGCCAGGATCTGTGACTGCTTACTATGTGCTCAGTACTGTGCCAATAAGGGCTTCACATACATAAGCTCACTTGATTCTTCTTCATACAGATGAGGAAACTAAAGCTCAGAGAAGAAAACTGACTTATTTTAACAAAAGCAATATACAAAAATCAAGTCTTCTGACGTACCAGTAACAAAGAGTTAAAAAATACAATGGTGGGGGTGGGGTGGGAATACTGTTCAGAGTAGCAAGAAAAAGGTGCAAAACTATAGAGTTATTTAAAAAATGGCAAAATCCCACAATACCTACACTGTGCACCCAGAAATCCTGGGATGGGCGCCACAGTGAACCGTCAGGGGCACCGAAGGACATTTCACACTTTTGAGAGAAATACTATGTGATATCTGTTGGCTCCCATGTGGACTACTAGTTTCAAGCAGTTCATGGTTTAACACTAGGTAGTGCTACATTCCTTCTGACAATCTTTGCAAAGCTGGGTTTTCAGTTTTGAAGGTGGTGCGGGGTGGAGGGAGTTCTACACAAAAATCAGTGCAGAACAAGATGTGAGGGTGGCTATGTCCAAGCTGATTCTAACATCTGCAACATCGTACAGATGAAAATATCCCATAAGTAAGTTACTGCAATAATTTAAGAATGAAATAAAAAAATTTTCAGCTGTGATACGTATTATACAGTTGACCCTTGAACAATAACCATAGTTAGGGGCATCAACCCTCAGTAGGTGAAAATTCAAGTATCACTTATAGTTGGTGCTCGATTATTAACACATGGTTCTTCCATGTGTTAATCTATAAATCTATAAATAGATTCAACCAACCACAGATGTGTATAGTACTGTTGCATTTACTGTTGAAAATGTCCATGTAGAAGTGGACTCAAGAAATTCAAACCCATGTTGTTCACAGCATAAATACTTATGAAGTTCTCTGGGTCTGACTACTCAATAATCA